GCGGACGAAATCCCGGACGCGTTTTGAGCTCCAGAGTCGCTAAATGGGGCTCGAACCGAGCGTGTGACCCCACCAATGGATTGCTCTCCGAACGAGGAATCCATTGATGGGGTCACACGTTCGGTTCGAGTCCTGTTTAGCGACTCTGGAGATCAAAACGCGTCTATTATTGGCTGCCTCCTGGTCTTGTGGCCCACTGTGCGCCGCGCTCCGCGCCACTGGTGCGAGCAGTGGGCGGTCCGGGTGAATTCCACTCTTAATGGAATCTATTTTCACTGATGAAGAGTAACAGTCTGTAGGCTTGAGTGTGCGCGATTCGAAAACCGGTTCCTGCATTTTCAACAGCCGCGATAAAGCGAAACAGAAATCGATTTGGATCTAGTCTGGCGCGCGGCGGCAAGCTGCTGGTGGGCGAGGTGGGCGTGGTGGGCTCGGCTCGGCGACGCTCCGGGACGCCCGGCGAGTTACAGTGGAGTGGAGACACTGTGACCGCAGCAACCTGGCCGCCTGGCCGCGAGCCAGCGAGGCGCGGCGGGGCGCGGCGGGGCGCGGCGGGCGCGGCGGCGCGGCGGGGCGCGGCGGGGCGCGGCGGGGCGCGGCGGGGCGCGGCGGGGCGCGGCGGGGCGCGGCCGCAGAGGGACAGAGAGGCGCCGCCAGAGAGAGACAGAGCGACACAGGCGCGTGCCTTGCGATCCGCTCTCACGCTTCTTACCGCCGGAAGGGGCGGCGTGCCCCTTTGTCGCTGCGCGTGCCCAAATCATAAACGTCCGTGCTTTTGGCTGAGCGATCCGGGGAGCGGGAACCGAACAGTGTTGGGGCTAAATCACTCCAGGGACTCCAGGGACTCCAGGGCTGCGGCAGGCAGTGGCTCGCCCGAAGAGTGCTCCTGGGACACTTCGTCGCCGAAGGGCCTGTGGGCCTGTGGGGCCAAGACAAGAGGCGTTCGAATACGGAGCCCCGCCCGCCCCGCCACCTCAGGAATTGAATGGCTCGCCCTGATCCCCACCGGGGTGCGGCCGCGCCACTCCGACAGCCAGCGGGAGCTTCCGTGGGGCCGCGAGGGGGCCGCGAGGGGCCCCCGCGGGGGCCGGTGGAACGCGGGGGCGGCGGGGGCGGCGGGGGTTGGGGTGCAACAGGCCTGGCTGGCCGACCAATGCACAACTAGTTGACATCCATTCGGCCTCGCAGGCCCCGTTGTTGCTCGTAGTCAAACACACCACTCACTCGCTCCCTCTCTGTCTCACACTTACATTCTCACAAACACTCTCTCACTCCTCAAACTCAATCAATGCGCGTCGTTCCATCAAAATAATGCACCAATCATGCATTATTTATTGTTTTAGATTCCAGCTGACTCTGTTATTTTAGACCAACGAGGAGACCCCATGCAAGCTCATGTGTGTATATCTGCTTTTGCGGACCACACCGATCACTCCCGCCGCTGGATTTTTTTCGGACCGCGAGTGTCCCGAAATGAAATGCATTGTGGTCACAATGGAGAACTCTGTCATTTGTCAATTTACACAAACAACAACATCAGCAACAAGAACCGGTTTTTGCTTACCGTTGGGACCTAAACATTTACGAAGTAAACCCTTTCTGTCCGACCGTGTCCCCCCCCCACCCGGCTGCCCCGCCCCCTGCTTCAGCTCTGATGAGTCAACATGTCCCTACAATGGCCAAGTGATTGAATCGAATGGACTCTGTGTACCTCTGATATCTTTTTGGCCCCCTCACCCATGGTCGCTCGTTCCCCTCCCTTTTCTCCACCTCACCCGAAAAAAGGTAAAATCGCGCAACTTTAAAGTCCACTTTTTCCACGGCAGCATAAAACCGACACAAACTCCCGCGGCGGCGTATGAAAAATAAAATGGGAATCCCGCGGAAAGGCCGTCAAGCCCGCGTATTAAAATCAATTAGCCTCTCCCTTTTTTTGTCTTTTTGCCTCTGCTCTTTATCCTCGTGTAACGAGGTTATCGGGGAGGGACGAGCAGCGGGGAGGGGGAAGGGTTAAGGAAGGGAGGGGCATGGGGAAATTGGATTACCGGGAAAATGCTCATATGGCACAGTGCTCTGGAGGGCCAGGGGCCGAAGGGCCCGCTGCCGAACTGCACCTCGCAGAGCGGGGCACAATGGGCCAGAAGACCGGAGGAGGCGGTCGAAACCTCGGACGCGTTTTGAGCTCCAGGTCGCTAAATGGGACTCGAATCGAACGTGTGACCCCATCAATGGATTGTTCTTCGAACGAGGAATCCATGGTGGGGTCACACGTTCGATTCGAGTCCTGTTTAGCGACCCTGGGCCTCAAAACGCGTTTAGAATTTCGGCCGCCTCCTCCGGTCTTCTGGCCCACTGCGCCACGGGCGAGAAGGCGGGGGAAAGGGCCGTCGAACAACGAAGGGCCGCCGAACGAAAGGGTCGCCGTCAGAGGGTCGAACAAGTGGCAACGAAGGGGCGGCGCGCCTAGCCGCCCAAGGAGTGCCGATCAGAAAGCCTCTCGCCCTTGAACGCGATGAAGGCCCTGATAATGAAGGCCGCGTGGCGGAAGGGGTGACAGGGCCTGCAGGCCTGCAGGCACAGAACGGCGCGGGGCGTGCCCCTTCTTTCCGCTCCGGGTGTATTCATTTCGCAGACGCATTGTGCCGACGAGCTGGGGAGGGGGGGGGGCATTCCGGGAAATACTTTCCCGCCAATGAGAGCGCCAGCCAGGCAGCCAGGCAGCCAGCCAGCCAGCTCGATGCACACGAGAAAAATGATGTATTTCGCGCGCAACCGCGGATGAATATTTCCTCCCCTCGCTTGGTCTCATCAGGGACGTTTTTTCAAAACGGGATTTGTGTTGAGAAATGTCTTTATTTTGATGGTGGCCGCTTGGCGACCCCCGCCGCCACCCCGACATAACCCACTGCTTGGTAACGGTGCGGTTTCGCCTTCCGCGCCACTGTCGGGTGTGTGTGGGGGGGGGGGGGGGGGGGGCGAAGCGGCCCGAAGCCTGGGCGTAGCGGAGCGTGGCAAGGGTGCCGTGCCGTTTCCATGTGCTTCAACACGTGCCCTGAATCATTCATGGCCTGGCATTGTCAGTGGGTACGGCCGCGCGCCCCGGAGGTACAGCCCGCGCCAAAATGTGTACGGCCAACACCCCGTCGCTGTGGCTCCCCGACGACGGGGTCCCCATCAAGCCGCATCAGCCTCGGCCGCTCCGGGAACTGGTACTCGCACTGCCAAGTTCTCCTGTAGACTGATTCCGAATGTCGTATTCGTCTCTCTCTCGCACTCATACGGGACGCCCCATGAGTGCGAGAGAGACCGAGCGACGGTCTGAGTTACAACCAGCTCGGCACGGCTTCATTGCGAGCCCCGCGTCAACGCGCGGACTTCTCCTGAGGGAAATGGCGCACCAAACAACCAAACACCTGAACCCAAGTCACCCAATCCCATTTACGGTGGTGCGCCGCGCTCCCTTGGGGAAAAGGCGCCGCGCGCAGTGTAGCCACACGCGAAAAAAAAGATGCACCGGTGTCGACAGGGTTGCCAACCTCAGCCTACCAACGGCACTGGCTTTTCCCGCCTTGTGGGCCGCCGCTCGGCGACGGCGTGGTGACGGCGGCCGGGGGTTCGCACACTGCCAGCGGACCGATTCCGAGAGTCGTCACGTTGTCTCTCTCGCACTCGTGGGGCGTTGGGTGCGAGAGAGACAGAGCGACAGCCTCGCCTGCCCGCGTCATGCCGCCAAAAGCGGATCGCAGTCACGGCCAATTTAGGGCCTTTCTGCGCGTTCCGCCCGCGAAAGAGCTCGCGTGCACGGAAAACAAACAAACGGGGAAAAAAGCGATTACGGCCGCGTGAGGTAGTCGCGGAGGAAAGGTGCAGGGTAAGAAAAGAACATTCTAGGGCCAGTGCCTGCAACAAAGCGTGAAACACTGTGCGAGACGAATCGCCGTCAAATGGGATTCGAGAACGTTTGAGGAGTTGGCGGCCTTGCGGCGCGAAGCTGCGAAGCCTGGCCCACGCGTACCGGCTGTGTGGCGGGAAGGTGGAGGGGGGCGGCGCGTGGGTTGCCTATCCCGGACTCCGCGGGCGCGCCGGAGTCTCTCTCTCTCTCTCTCTCTCTCTCTCTCTCTCTCTCTCTCTCTCTCTCTCTCTCTCTCTCTCTCTCTCTCTCTCTCTCTCTCTCTCTCTCTCTCTCGCCCGCCGTGCTGCCGTGCCGCTTGAAATAGTCACTTCTTCCTCCGGAGCTCCCCAGGGATCAGACGGGCGCCCTTCTCTCTACTCTCCCGATTCATTACCAATCACCAATAATATTTTCTTTCGCTCCGATCTCCCTTTTTTTGGTCCCTATCTCTTCCCCGTCCTTCCCTTTTTTTGTGCTTCTCTTTCTCTCTTTCGCCAAAGGCGGCCGAGCTGTGTTCGATAAGCCATCTCTTTTCCTTTCCGCACCTTCCTCCCTCGCACAGTCGCCCAAACGGCTCAATTACCATTCGGAGCGTCCCGGCGCGCCCCGCCCCGCCCCGCCCCCCCGCCCCGCCACGCCCCGCCCCGCCCCGCCCCGCCCCGCCCCGCCCCGCCCCGCCCCCCGCCCCGCCCCGCCCCGCCCCGCCCCGCCCCGCCCCGCCACGCCCAGGCGAGCGGATCAATTATATCCCTTAACAACACTAACGCGAATACAAAAAGGAGACAGTCTCGCGAAGCAATCCGCGACGTTCTCGTAAGACGACTCGCGCAGCTGCTCTTTTTTATTCACTCTCTTTTTTTTCGAGGGGGTTTACATCCTTGTTTTTCCAAGTCCAGAAAGAGAGAGACGGGGTCCAGGCTGTAGCGAAGCCCAGCTCGGCCCGCGAGGACGCCAGGTGCGCTGCTGCCCAGCGAGGACGCACAGGGCTGCCCCGTGGCGAGCACGCACGCGCTCTATTCCGAACACGTTCGCCGCGTCTCTCTCGCACTCACGGGCCGAGGGGTGGGGTGTGCGCACAGTGTGCGAGAGAGGCAGAGGGTGTACTCACATCTCCGTCTCCACGTCGTCCATCCTGCTCCTGACGAGCCTCCGGGCCCGGCGCTGGTCCCGTTCGTCGAGTTCCCTCAGCCACACGAACAGTGCGCCTGAGAGGGACAGAGAAACAAAACAGTCAGAGGCAGCGGTGAATTTCCGGTGATAAAAATAGGCTGAAACAAAAGCAACCCCAAATTCGAAGCCAAAGGAGCCTTGCTCTCCTCCTGCCGCAGTCTCGCCACGCGGCTCCCTGGGCGACGCGAGAGGCCTTGCACCTGCAAGGCGGCCTTGCTGTCCGAAAGCGGAGCCGAGCGTAGAGAGCCGTCGGGCCAGGGCTTGCAGAAGGGCCGGCAAGCTGACGGCAAGCCAAGCCGCCGAAGCCAAAGCCCTGGCGGGAACGCCGGAGCGGGGCGCGTCCAACAGGTACGGGCCGCTGTGCCCCTAAACCCTGACCCCGCGTGACCCCCAGCCTCGCGTCCTGCCCTGCGGCACTGCCGCCGACCTGCCCCGACCCCGACCGGAACGCGTGCATCTCGACGGCAAACGCGCTTCAGACAAGAACAGGGCTGGAAAACAACACAATGAAAAAAGCGGATGAAAATCACAACATGACAAATGATTTTTGTTTTTAAAAATTGTCATGCCGCGGTGCCACGTGGTCCGCGCGCTCGGCGTGCCAGACCGTACATTACAGCAATCAAGGTGGAGGCGCTTCGCTCGCACAGCGCCGCACAGCTCGCGCTGTCAGGCGACTGCTGACTCCCATTTTTCTGGTCCAACGCCCCCCCCCCCCCTCCTGTCCCCTGGCCGCCGTAAGCCCTTCCTGCCGGGCCGCGCGGCGCCAAGCGGCCGCTGTGGGGCGACACAGTGGGCCAGAAGACCGGTGGAGGCGCCCAAAACTCTAGACGCGTTTTGAGCTCCAGAGTCGCTAAATGGGGCTCGAACCGAACGAGTGACCCCACCAATGGATTGCTCTCCGAACGAGGAATCCATTGGTGGGGTCACACGTTCGGTTCGAGGCCTGTTTAGCGACTCTGGAGCTCAAAACGCGTCTAGAGTTTTGGCCGCCTCCACCGGTCTTCTGGCCCACTGTGGGTGAATGCGTAGGTGGCAGGCTGCTCCTGAAGCGCCCACGACCCCACGGCCCAGGCCTATTTATTCCATTCTCGGTGACAAATCAGATCTGTCAAGGAAGCAACGGCAATGAATGGACGGGCAGGCAGGCCCGCAGAAAAGGAGTCCGTTTCGAAGAACTGGCTGTTTCAATTAAATTTTGTGAGCGAGTTGCTCTCGCCGGTCGCGATGGACGACCGTTCACTGTTGGGTCGGCAAACAGTGTGTGCCCTCTCCCTCTCTCTCCCTTTCGAGCTGCGAATGGCTGTGCTGATCTCCGGGCGCTTGAGCGATTTGCCCTCAGCCCCCAACGATATGTTTCATTTCAAATCTCTTCCCTCGTCGTCGTCGTCCAGGACTTCCTCCACCGCGCTGTCCCTGTCTCCGGCCCTCGCGCGGAGTTACCGGGTCGGAAAAGAACGAGCAAAGTGAGAGAGAGAGAGAGAGAGAGAGAGAGAGAGAGAGAGAGAGAGAGAGAGAGAGAGAGAGAGAGAGAGAGAGAGAGAGAGAGAGAGAGAGAGAGAGGACTTTGTCCGCTGGAGGGGGAGGGGTTCTACTCAGTCTACAGCAATCATATTACTTGGCAGTCCTCGCGATTCGCTTCGATAGCGAAACAGAGGGGCTGCCTGCCTGGCTGGCTGCCTCGCTGGCTGCCTTGCTGCCTGCCTGCCGGCCGGCCCAGTGACTGGGGGCGGCGCCGAGGCGGGCCGAGCGCTGTGCTGGCCGCTTGGTGCCCCGCGTCCGCCCCGCGTTCGCCCCGCGCCCCGTCACCAAGGCCACAACAAAGGACGGCGTGATTGGATGAGTTGGAATCAATAAGAATAAAGCGAACAAAGCGCGGCGCACAATAACCTCTCGACCTCCACGACGCCACGCTGCCGCCTTGGAGCGCTCGCAACGCCTCGCAGTGCCTCGGCGTGGCGGGGCTGCCGCGGACGCACCGCGCAACCGCGGACTGCGACCGGTGCTGCCGCGATAGCAGCCCAAAATTCTAGGGTGGCCAACCTCCGCCTGCCTGCCGGGCGATATCTCGGCTGCGGTGTCGAGAAGTTGCCGGGCTGCGGTTGGCAACCCTGTCGACACTGGCGGGTCGTGGGGATTTGGGCCTACTAGTGTGGCAGCACTACGCGGACCTATTACGCCAGGAAACGAAGGAAGGCGCTGAGTGGCTTTGCATTGGGGGGTGGGGCGGCGCGGACTTGCGGTCCGCTCCCTTCGAGGCCCGGGGGCGGCGGGGGCGGCGGGGGCCTCCGGTCCCCGGAATGGCTTCATTCAGCAGCCAGGGCCGCGGGGCCGCCACCCCGGCACTGGCACTGCACTGCGAGCCCCGAGGCGTGGACCCGCGCGGCCCCGCGCAGCAGACTCGCCTCGTCGCTCTGTCTCTGTCGCACTCGCGACGCGTCCCGCTAGGGTGCGAGAGAGACAGAGCGCTGCACTCACGCGGGCCGTAATGACAATGAAAAGGGTCGTGATGGGTGTGGGAACGCGCCGCCAATTGCAGCGACAGGCTGTCTCTCTCGCACTGCCGCGGCACGCCTCGTGAGTGCGACAGAGACGGAGAGACTCACGGCTCATGGAGCACCACCTTGTCAGTGCACTCCAGCGAGCGCTGCGGGCGGCACGCTTTGCCCCGCACCAAAGTGCTCCGCGACAAATGAGAAAATTTTGAGGGGTGACCGAAAAAAGAAACGGAATGAGAGTGGAGCAGGCAAAGAGGTGCCCCGTCCTTGTCTCTTGTTGTCCCTCTCCCTCGCTCAACAGATGAGCGTCGGCATTAGCGGCCACATAATAAAGACAGAGAGAGAGAGAGAGAGAGAGAGAGAGAGAGAAATGGGTGGCGAGGGAGAGGCCGCGTGGTCCGCGCAGTCCGCGTCGCAGCTAGCTTTCGAGTCACCCCGGGCGCCGAGGGTTTCTTCTGCCGTTTCAAATTTCCTTGCAGTTTGTTTAAACATTTATAAACGTGCTTAAATTTTTCCTTTAAAAGTGAAATTGACCGTTTTTTTTATTTCGTTTTTTCCGAGCAAAGCCACTATTTTTTCCCGTTTTATTTGTGCGTCGGTGGCCGGGCTTTTGATGTAACCTGCATTTGCACACCGCGGGCCGCGGAGCGCGCCGAATGCAATTTACAATTCCGGCCAAAAGCCTCATCCCACCACCTCCTTTTTTTGAAAGGCACTCTCCTAAGGCCAGCGCTCCACAACGCTGGCCAGGCTGGCCGCGGTGCCGGGTGCCGGACAACGCCATCCTGGGCGTCCTCGGCGTCCTCGCGTTCCAAATCCGGGAACCGCCACTCCGTGACTAGGCCGGCCACGCCCCGCCACGGCCGCAGAGGCGTCCTTGATGTTCTCTCTCTCTCTCTCTCTCTCTCTCTCTCTCTCTCTCTCTCTCTCTCTCTCTCTCTCTCACGCACACACACACAGACAACACACACGGGGTCCACCCATACACAATAAAGATACGGCAGTTTCCAGCGTACATACGCCTCGGCGTGCTGGCGGCGCGCTCGCGGCGTTCGGCCATGTGGAAGCGATCTAGAAATCACCACAAAACTGAGACGCGGCGGGGCGGGCGGTGGAGCGAGCGACGGGGTGTCCTTGGACGTTGGCCGCGCTCCCTACGCCGGCGGTGTGGACGCACGTAGTACGGCGGGGCGGGGCGGGGCGGTCGGGCGCGGTCGAGGAAGCTGAGCTGGGCATCAAGAGTCTCGCTGTCCTCCATCTCTGTCTGGACGGGGCGAGAGGAGAAGAATGATGCACGGGGAAACTGCCAATTTTCGGGGGGCCTGAGGAGGATGCGAACCGCGCGCGCCTCGGCGAGGCGTGGTGGTGGGGTGCGGTGGGGCGGGGCGGGGCGTGGCAGCGAACTCTGTCTATTAAGAGAGTGATGCGCGCGCAGACATTAACAGTGATGGGTTCAAGCAGCCTGGATGGCCGCCACGAACCGCAATTTGCATTTAATACCGACCGGGACCGACAGAGAGAGAAAGAGAGAGGGGGGGGGAGGACGTAAGGATTCGCTCCGATTTCGGACTGCCATTTCTGAGGTCTATTAGAAATTCCGCTGACACCGCCTCCTACTCTTCTCCTCCGAACGGTCTGTTTTGTCAGTCCATACGCAATGAGGTTTTGCTCTCAAGCTGAGACACTGTGTCAAGAAAACGGTGCCATCTCTCCGGACGTTTTCCGGGACATCATAATTGGGCCACTGGGAAATTCGGGCAAGCTGTGCGGACCGCGGGAGTGTGGCAGAGCGCAGTCAGGGAGCGTTACAGCCCCTCATTTTTTTCACAGCAGAATGAACTGCTCGTGCGGTGTCTGTTCGGAGGTTCCGCTCGCGGGAAAAAGACGCACTGTATGAGACAGCCAATCGGAGACAACTTAACAACGAAGTTTGGCTGGATGGCGGGCACGTGACTTCCTTCGGGGTGGAGTGAGGGGGGGGGGGGCAAGTTGGTCGTGCCTTGGTCGTGCCTTGGGCGTGCCAGGGGCGTGCCGGGCGCGCCTGGCAACCCGCAATACCAACACCTCGACACAAAGCCTGCAGGCCGCCTCCGCGCCGCCGCGGCCCCGCCTCCAGAGGTCTAGTTACGCGCAGACGGGCCTCTCAAATCCGTTTCCGTGGAGTGGAGTGCGGCGCCTCGCCTCGCCGCGCCTCGCCGCGCCTCGCGTTCCACGGCCTGGATGACATGACTAGTGGCGTGGATGGCTGGCCGTCCTCCCTTCCTCCCTCTCCCTCTCTCCCTCGCTCTCCACAACAAATTGCCGCCCTCCGACAACTTTTGCGGCCGAGGCAGGCCGAGGGTTGAGGAGAGTAACTTTCGTCATCTCACTAAAAACACGAGCCGCGTCTGGAAAAGTTGGTCCGGCTGGGCGTGGCACGGCGTGGCGCGGCGTGGCGCGTGGCGTGCCGGGGCCAAGACGGCGGCGATGGCAGTCGCAGACTCGCAGACGCGACGAGGCGAGGCTTCGACTTGGACGCGCACGCCGAGCCACGAGCG